GGGGATGACGTGGAGGTGAGGGCAGGGGGGCAGGAACCACGGAGGGGATGAGACATCAGGGAGGAGCTGTGGCTGCTGCTGGGGCCCAGAGACAGGAGGAGGCCTGGAGAGGGCAAGGCCCAGAGGAGGGGAGGGGACAGAGGAAGGGGACACTCACCCTGCACTGGGGCTGGACTTGTAGAAGAGGGTGAAGGAGACTGAGCTGGTCACCTCGGACCTCACCTCCCAGGAGCAGCTGAGCACAGTGGCCCCGTCGAAGGAGCACTGGAGGTTCCGGGGCTGAGCCTCATCCCCTGGGAGGGAGACAGTCCCTCAGTAATTCCCTCCTTCAGTCATCCCATAGCCCTGAGGGGCCACCATGAGACTCATCGCAGAGAGATCATGGGCCTTGGGGCCAGAAAGACCAGGGGTTAAACGTCAGCCTGAACCCGCCGGCTGTGTGAGCACAGAGCAGAGCGAGTCTGTGCACCTTCACACCCCTGTGTAAGCGGGGAGAGCATGCACGTCTCAGTGCTGGGGTGTACACAATGACGCTGGTGTGTCTGCACGCGGCAGAGCTCTCAGGACCACAGAGCCGCTCACGGTGCCATCGTGACTCTCATTGTAATTGTCCCCAGTCAGAACCTGTGCAGCAAACTGGGGCCGAGACGTGAGCAAGATGCAGCCGCTGCCTCTGCAGGGTCACAGAGGGGGTGGGGTGGGCCCAGGGGAGAGACTCCAAACACGGGGCACAGAAGGTCCGTGGAATCCCGCAGTGTGGCCTCCTGGACTCCTTCTGTCCCGGAGCTGTAATGAGCCCCCTCCCCGCAGAGGGCATCACCCCGACCCCACTGCGTTACCTGGCTGGGAGTCCCAGCGAACCTCCGGGCTCCACTGGCTGGGCCGTCCCGAGAGCCCCGAGCCTGGAGCCAGCCGGGTGCGCACTCGGGCCACATAGGTGCTGCTGGGCAGGAGGTGCTCTGGCCCCAGGACAGCCTGGGAGGAGTTGGAGAGGAGGGTGGGGGCGTCCTGTTGGGAGAGAAGGGCTGCTGGAGCGGGTGCTGGCTGGGCCGCATCCCTGTTGGCTGGGGGCAGAGCTGGCCGTGGTCCCTACCTCCCAGGAGTCCTGAAGTTGCCTGTAGACCACCTCGAACTCCAGGTTGGACAGCCAGTGGCTCTGGGACGCCACAAGGGCCACTCTCCAGGTCAGCAGGAAATGGTCCCCAGCAGCAGTGACCTGGAGGTCCTCGGGGGCGGGGGGCTGCACTGGAGTGAGAGGAAGTAAAGGGCCCATGAGGGGTTGGACGCCTGTGCGGCGGTCAAGGGCCTGCTGGCCTTTGTGTGGAGAGACCTGGATTCCAGGTGGAGCACTGCCCCCCCCACCAGCTGGGGGAACTTGGACAAGACCCCTCCCCTCTGTGGGCCTCAGGCCCTTCATCTGCAGATTCGTGGGATTCAGTGTGATCTTGAGTGAGAGCTGTGCAGGTTGCCGTGCACATACAACATGAGCTCCGTCGACGGTGCTGGCGATGAAACTCTAAGTGGAGCCTCCTTCTGTCCCTGGGACCCCACTGCCCAGAATGTGGCCTATGTGGCCTCCTTCCAGCAAAGGCTGCTGTGGCTCACCTTGCGCCCTCTCCTGCTGTCCACCCTCCTTCCCCTGTCCCCCTGTCCAGTGTCCCGCACCTCTCAGTGCCCAGCAGAAACATCTCCTCCAGAGCCTTCTTGGTCCCCATCCCCCAGGCAGAATCGCTCTTTTTCTTGTCCCCCCATAGACGGTTGTGTGGTCCTTACAACCCTGGTGGATTTGTGTGTTTCCGGGTCTGCGTCCCCAGGGAGTCCAGTAGCATGTGGGTGGCAGAAGTTGGGTCTTGACCCCTTCCCGACCCCCAGGGCGTGAGATGTCGTGGTTCTGGGAGTTTGGGGACAAAGCGAGTGAATGATTGAGTAAGTAAATGAATAAATACATGTAGGCAACCTTCAGAGGCTTTTCATGAAATCATTCCATCGACCAACAGAAGCAAACATCTGCTGGGAGCTACAGTGTTGGGCGAGCAGATGCAGTAGTGAATGGCACGGCTCCTGCTTTCCTGAAGCTCCTGTGTCTAAACGCTGAGAGATGACTTTCAAACAAAGACCTCGATAAGAGCCCCAACAAGATGTAAAAGTTCTGTGCTGGACGTGAACGTGGCGTGTGAGAGCCTGGCAGAGCTGGAGCCTTCAGAAAATCTTCAGCCCAGCATGGCAGATACTCGGCACCGCTTCCCACCCACAGCCATGCGGGCATCACCAGTCAGTCATTGCACAGCTAGCCCATGAGCCTGGCATGGAGGGGGCCCTTCTCAGCCCGGAGCTCTGGGAAGCTGCTGCCAACTGAACCCTGGGTGCCCAACAAAACCCATTCATCCAACCTGAGGGAGGTTAGTCCACCAGCTCCTTTCACAGCTGGAGAAACTGAATGAGGAAGCGAAATATCCTCAGAGCAGATGAGATGCACGCCTGTCCCCTCCCCAGCACCCCGCGACTTCCTGATTCGTTGCCAAAATGGTTTGGGCTGGAACTGACCTCCCTACTCAGCATATGCTCCAGGAGGCAGATGTCACACTGCCCTCCCATTTCTGAGCTGTCCCCGTCTCCAGCATGACCCTTCCCTGCTCCACGCCATAGCTTCACAGGGCAGGGAGACTGCTTGGTGTGTTCGGGGCTCTCCTGGTCATGCTGGTGCTCCACGAGCGAACAGGTTGATGAATGAACTGCGTGTATATTCTAACTTTGATTCGCATGCCCCCTCGTTCCCATCCCCTGGCCACACTCCAGCTGAGTCCTCATCATTTCTCCCCGGGGTGAGCGCCTTCGGTCACTTTCTGGGCTCCAGCCTCCTGCCCCCTCCAATCCCTGACATCTAGCCTGTACATCACCCACCTCCGACATCCTCACACCCACATCTGGTCATGTCATGCCCCTTCAATGGCTCCCCATCGCCTAGATGTTGACCTGTAACCTCCTTTGCAGGGCACAGAAGCCCCCCAGTCAGGCCCTGCCTGCGCTGCCCCTCTCCTTCCTCCCGCTGTCCAGCCCTCTTGAAGCTGGTGCTCCCAGGACACAATTTTAGCGCTTTTCCCAATCTGCCTTGCCCTTCTGGGTCTCCCAGGCTCTGCACACTCTGTTTCCTCTGCCAGGAATGCTCTTGCCGTGCTCTCCTCCCCCCACCCTTCAGATCTTCCTGCAAAGCTCTTCCTCTGGGAAGCCTGTCTGACCTCCCACGGGCTCCTTGTCCCCTGCCCTTGGCACGTGGCACACACTTGCCTTCAGTGGGTGTTCACCCCGGACACACTTGGTGTCTCCTGGCCTCTCCGGCTGGTACTCTTAGCTCCCCCCGGGAGGGACTCTCTCTCGTCCACCAAACACGTGTTCTGAGACATTGTTTGAAATGAATTCACCACGAACTAACCCACCCCCTCTCCCAGGCCACAGCTTTGTGCTGCTGGAATGGAAAGAGGCAGGAAGCAAAGGCTGGAGCCCCCTCCCCATCTGACACCTGCAGGGACAGCAGCGTGGCCCAGGGTTAGGGACCCAGGACGCTAAAGTCAGACCTTCCTGGGTTTGAATCTCAGCTCTGCCACCAGCCGCTGAGAGGCTGTGAGCATCCAGCTCCCTCCGCCTGTTTCCTCACCAGTCAAACAGCAATAACAATAGTGTTACTGCTAATCTGGTGTTGTTTAGAGGGTTAAATAAGAATCGGTAGTGTCTCCTGGAAGCCCGGGACATATGTGGTTTTTGCCATGTCTACGTAAACTCTTATGATATGACTCTTCTTCTTAATTTAGCCTCATTCTAAGAAACAGTTACCTTGAATGCAGAGTTTGAAAAGTTGGTTATATTTCTGTCTAATATACAGTCCAATAAAGCCTAACTATTTATATAAAATGATCACTGACTCCCACCCATGACGACTGACTTTCTTGGGCCACCGTGGACACATGGTACACACTTTGGGGTGACTCATCGAAGCCCGTCAGGGGTGACCTCCCCTCTAGCGTGCACGGAGCACTCGGCATGTCTGACCCGTCACTGTCATGACTGCTCTGTGGGGGCACCTTGGAAACATTACGTCATCTCTTGGGGTCTCAAGAGCCTTGTCTATACGTGGGTGGTTGCAGACATCACATGAGACCACAAAGATGATAGAGTTTTCTAAACAGATAAGCTTTTATGTGAATCCTAAGAACGGTTCTTCTACAAGAGTTGCCTCCAGTGCCAGGAGGCAATGTCCTGGCAGGCGGGGGAGCCGCCAGGTGCAGGGGAGGCACCTTTGACCAGGGCTCATCACACTGCACCTGTTCCAAGGCCCCATAGTGAGGAGACCACATCCTCCTCCCTCAGGAGACCAAACCCACCCCAAGCAGGGTCTCCACCCCTTGAAGGCTCTCACTCCCTGGCCCTTCTCCTGCAGTCTGGCCACCCGTAGGGCCCACTGTCCACAGAGGGAGCACCCCTGGCCAGGGCCCCCAGGCCTCACCGTGCTGGGTCAGAGTGACGGTGAGCTCGGCGCGCAGAGGCCTGTCTGGTTGGAATGAGAAGTAGTCTCTGTCAGCAAGGACGAAAAGCTTGTAGGGAATGACGCATCTTCTGGGCACACAGCCGGGACAAATGCGGTCTGTCCAAGGCATGTCATCACTGAGATGGCAGGCCACTTTTTGCAGGGGGTCCCTGGCAGGAGAGGACACAGGTTAGCCCAGAGTGAAGAAGAATCAGTCATTCACAAACATTATTGAGTGGTTACCAATAAAGGTGGATGAGGAGGCCAGAAAGGCCGGGGTGGTGGACGTACTTTGAATTGGGGAGACAGCGAAGGCCTCTTGGAAAAGGTGACTTTTGAGCAGAAACTTGAAGGAGATCAGGGAGGGAGCAAATTCTGGGGAAAGGGGATTTCAAGTAAAGGGAAGCAAGTCCAAAGACCCTGGAGCAGGTACAAGTTTGGAGTGTTGCATGACTAGGCAGTTAACCAGTGTGCAGAGAGTGGAGTATGTGAGGGAGGGTGGTCTAGGAGACTAGCTGAGCGAGGGAACAGGACGCCAGCGCTTAAAAGGAATTTACGGAATTTGGATTTCACTGTAAGTGGGGAAAATTTAGAGAGTTCTGATCAAAGGAGTGACATATTTTGGTGTATGCTTTGAAAGGATTCCTCTGGCTGCTGGGTTGTGGATAGATTGGGTTGAGGGGGGATGGCAATACGGGATGCAGAAAGCCCAGTTAGGAGGCTTCTAGAATATCCAAGCTAGAGGAAGTGGTATGAACCAGGGCGATGGTCTTAGCAGATTCACGTTCTATCTGAAGACAATGTTGACAGCATTTGCTGCTGGATCGAATGCTGTGGTGGGGAGGCAAGGTGGTGAAAGAGATTAAAAAACAACAACAAAAAACCTCTCAGTTGTTTGGCTGGAGCCCCCAGGAGCCCCCATTTAGTGAAGCGAGATGGGGAGACTAAGCGAGGGCAGTCTTTGGGAGCAGAGCAGGAATTTGGCTCAGGACGTTGGGGTTGAAGATGCCTGTTATCTGAGGGGCGAAGGGGAGAGGCAAGCGCACCTACGGCCTGGAGCTTCGGGGAGGTGCGGGCTGGACAGGGTGTGAGAGTGTCAGCCGTGGCCTGGGGCTGGATCTCTGCCCACTGGATCAGGATCTGAGATTGGAGGCCCAAGGACTCCCCATCTCATCCTTCAAGTTGGAGACAAAAGAAAGGAGCAGACAAGGAGACAGAAGAGGGCAGGCCAGGGAGACATGAGGAGGAGGGTGAGGGTGGGGGCCGGAGTCAGGAGAAGGGGCGCTTCCCGAGGACGCTGTGGGCAGTCCGGGTCAGGCGCTGCCCACGGGCCCAGCAGGGAGGAGGCTGAGACTGGCCCTCAGATTCAGCACCAAGGAGGGCTTTGCCGCCTGTGGCAGGAGCGGTTTGGGCGGCCTGGGGGAGTGGGTCGGGGGCAGCAGAACCCTGGGGGAGCGGGTTCAGGAGAGAAAAACTGGAAAGGCACTGGGGACAGTGGTGTAGACACCTCTTTAGAGGAGTGTCACCTCACAGGAAGCAGAGGATGGTCCTGGCCCGCAGAGATGGGGTCAGGAGGTGCCTGGAGCTGCAGCCCTGGGTGGCATCTGTAAGTGGGGGTTGGGGCACATTGGCTCAGTGATTGGGGAAGATCCCGGGAGAGGGCCCATGCACGGCACAGGGAGAGTGGGGACCGTGGTGGCAGCAATGTCCCTGAGCAGCAAGAGCAGATGGGACCCCCAGCTGCGGCCTCAGAGGGGACTGGGACAGGAAATCACTGCAGGGGGATCCACGGAGGCAGGCAGAGGCAGGGCGGGCAGTGTGAGCAGGAAGGGGGCTGAGGAGCGTCTCCTCTGGGGGCGTCTGTGGTCTCAGTGCAGGAGGAGGGGTCACAGCAGAGGGGCGAGGTGGAGGGGGAGTCGAGGAGAGTGGAGAGAGGAGGATGGAGGCTCCAGGGAGAGCGGGAGAGAGGGCGATGCTGTGGCGTGTGAAGGGCCGGCTCCTCCACGGGGCGGCCTCCAGGGGCTCTCCCCGGACCCGGTGAGGCCGGCTGTTTAATTATGTCTGTTATGGTGAGTTACTCTCACCAACACCCTAGCATGGTGTGAGGAATCCTCCCACGTGGCGTGTGCCCAGGAGACCACGTGGGGAGAAAGGAGCAGCCCCACACTCTGGAGGAGGCCAGGCCTCGGGGAGACATGGAGCCCACCCCACAGGCTGGACACAGGACGCTGGTCCCACTCGGCCGCTCACCCACCATGTGGCCGGAGGAGGGACCTCACCTCCACAGCCTCAGTCTCCTCATCTGTGAACTGGGCAACACGTCCCCGCCTGGCCTGCCTCACAGTGAGGATGGATTGAGACCCACTCTGTGGGGTGATTTTGTTAAACTGTGATAAAATAAGAAAATTATCACCAGGACCATCATCAAGCACAATATTACATAGACGGCCCTTCTCAGAAACACTGACATCAGACACCAGCGCCCGGGCCTGGCAGGCCACCCGACGGAGCAGGGGCTCCGGGGCAGGGGCCTCCCTCTCTGTCCTCCGTCCACCCCCATGTGGCACAGCCCCTCGCAGCAGCGCCCTCCCTGCCCTCCGGCCCCCGGGCCCCGCGTCACTCACTCGTTCAGCCTGCGGTGGAGAGTCACGTTGATGAGCCGCTGGGCGTCCCGGGTGTCCGCCCAGCTGCAGACGATGCGGCTGGTGTAGTCGTTATGGCAGCTCAGGGTCTGCAGCGGGATGGTCCCTGACCGGGGAGAGGCAGGAAGGGGTCACACCTCTCCCCCCAGGGGTCCCTTCTCACCGCCCCTCCCAGCCCCTCTGGGGCACGTGGCACTGAAGAGGGGTCTCTTGGAGTCTTGTAGAGGCTCCTGGCTACCAGGCAGAGGTCCCTAGGGGCCCTACGTGGGGCCGGGGGCTCTGTGGGTGTGAGCGTCCTGGTGGTAGACCCTCCTGTCTGGATAGAAACAATATTCTAGCTGATTCACAGCACATCTCCTGAGCCCCTGCTGTGTCCTGCTCCTGGGCCAGGGTCTCCCTCCCACGCCAGGATGGGGACCCCCATCAGGCACAGGCCCTGCTCCTGGACACCTCGGGGCAGCCTGGAAGGAGAGGCACAAACACACCCTAAGAGGCAAAGCCCTACCCTGGACCTCCCCACCTTGGTCTCCTGGTCAGCGGCCAGGCCTGATGGTGGGAAAAGAGACTGCGGTTCCCACGGGACCCCTTGGGAGGGGGGTTCATGGGCCTCAGGAGTCTGAGGAACATCCCAGTCGGGCCTCCAAGCACGAGGAAGATGCTGGGGCTGAAGCAGGGAGAGACCCCCAGGCTGAGGGCCCCCCAGGAGCGAAGGTGGGGAGGTGGGAGCCAGTTGAGGCCGTCAGAGGAGCAGAGTGTCTGGTGGGGAAGGAGAGGCAGAGACAAGGCTGGAATGACGGGCCTGGAGGTTAGAGGCCTCGAACGCCACACTGAGAAACGTGGGCGGAGCAGGGCCACAAGTGGGGAGGGACTTTACAGGAGGCCAGGGAGGAAGGAGCAGGAGTGTGGGAGGAGGAAGAGAGAGGCTCCGGAAGATCAGGGAGAGAGAAGAAAAGAGAGAAGGGAGGGAGGAAGGGAGGGGAGGCTGGAGCTGCTGGGGTCTGGGGCTTCCTCAGGATGGGACCAGCTGTGAGGAGGGGGACAGGGAAGGGGAGGGAGCAATCGGGCTCACCTTGGGCCCCTGCCACACTGAGCCCCCAGCACAGAACCAGCAGAGCGATGGGGAGCAGCCTCTGGGTCAGCGTCATCTTTGGGGTCAACTCTGGATGAGCAGGGCGCCGGCACAGGTGGGTCCAGGTCTGGGTAGGGTCCGGGGTCCTCACTGCCCTGGAATCTTGTGTCCCTCCCTGGCTGGGAGCCAGGCCAGACCCATGTTATCGGCTCTTGTGGTTCCTCCTTCCAGGACTCTGCTCCTTAGGCCTGGGGAAGGAGGTGTTAGCAGAGAGCTGCCCGCTCCCGTCCTGTAGCCACGGAGACTCGGCCTGTGCTGTGGGGTGACGCCAGGAGCGGCCCTGATGCAGGGGCTCCAGCCCCCACCTGACTCAGCCTGACACCCGGGACAGCCCTTTCCCCTTACTCAGGGCCTGGGGCATGATATGGGGGGAGATGCACCCATGACCTCTGAGAAGTCGGTCCCCACCGGGTCCTGCATCAGGTACCCCTGGGCAATGCCCTGGTGAGGGGAAACCCGAGAGGCAGGCCTGGTGTTTGGTTTCTCCTGAGCTCCCAGCTCCCCGTGGGCTGCTGACCCACACCTGCTTTGGGGTCGCTGGGTGTTGGGGGCCCCCGCGTCCTCCCCTAGGTGTGATCTCGCGCACGCATGCCCGCTCACACGCTCACTGCCACCCTCCGGGCCTGGTGCTGTCCCCGCCCTCTCCATTTACTGTCATTCCTCCCACACCACCCTCTGAACGCCAGTTCCCTTTTCTCCGCAGGAGGCTGGGGATTTCCTCTTTTCATCTTGTCTGGGCCTGGGAAGTACCCAGGAGAGCAAAACAGAGGGCCGTGGCTACTTTTCTCCCCGTAAGATTGTCTGAAATTCACTCAAGACGCACACACACAGGCGCACACGTGCTCACAGATATGCACACATGCTTACACACGTGTGTTCATGCACACACACACATACACACAGAGCAGCAGCTGGCTTGTTGGGAAAAGCACAGCTCCGGGCTCAGCCAACCCGACCTTCCACACAGGCTCTGGCCCTCCCATGCCCGTGACCTGGGCTAACGCACCAATGCTCCCTGCACCTCGCTCTGGGCATCTGTGAAATGGGTACAAGCTCATATCTCACATGGTGGTCCTGAGGAGAACCAAACGCGATGATGTTTACAGAGTGGTTAGCCTGATAAATGCTCAGGAAAGAAGAGCAGGCTTGTTTGGGGCTGGGGGAGCGTATTTGTCCACTTTAGCGCCTGCGGGGGGCGGCAATGCCACGGGGTAGGCAGGTGAGGGTCTGCGTGGGCTGGTGCAGCTTGGTCTGCCTACCTGGGACTAACCTGAAAATTCAGAGCTTCTGTTTGGATCTTATCATAAGTAGAAATACTACATGTGTAAAGAGAGCAATTCATCCCCAAATAAGTGCTGGTTGGACACAATTCCAGTCAAAATCTAACAAGATATTTTTGCAAGAACTCAGAGGGAAAAAATGTATATGAGGACAGTTAATGAGATTTTTAAAGATAAGGAGGCTCTACCAATAGCAAAATTTATTACAAAGATCTGATAAGTAAAGCAGTGTGTTGTCTCACACACACGCGCGCACACACACACACACACGTGATAGATCAATGGACATACTGACCAGACAAACTCTGTTTTTACCCAAAATGTACTATATGGTGAAGGAGAAATCATGAATAAATGTGAAGTGATGGAATAATAAAAAGTGCTAAGATAATTGAATAACAACACAAACATATCAGCCCAAGTCCCTATTTCACACCATTCCCCAAATATCAGGTAAATTAAAAATCTAAATGTAAGAAGTCAAATCATATTAAACTTGCAAACCATAGAAGTGAATACCTTTGAACTATTTAAGCTTAAATGCAGTAGAAGAAATCAGAGAGACAAAGGCAGATAGATAGCACATTAAAGCAAAATCTTCTATACTTTATAAAAATAACCGAATCAAGAAGCAAAGGACAAAGTGAAAAAAAAAAGTTTACACCAAAATTGTGGAGAACAGATCACTATCTTTACACTGTAAACAGTTAAAACAAATTAATGTCACCGAAGGACACAAGCATGAAATTTACATGCACAGAGAGAATTCATATCAGTGGCTGACAGTTATTAAACACTTACCCTGAGCCAGGCAGTGTTCAAAGGGCTTTACAGATATTAATACATCAATGTGCAGGTTACTATTAGAATCCCCGCTTTGCAGATGAGGAAACAGGAATAGGGACGTTAAGTAACTGGTCCATGATCCTCAGCTGGTAAGGGACAGGCTGGGATTGAAGCCCGCAGCAGGCTGGCTGTGGTGTCACTACACCAACAGTGACTGTGTTTCCCCATCATCAGTACCGTACGTGTCTGTTCTGACATATACTGACCCAACGGACGCTTCTAAGGACATGCACAGATCCAGCAAACACAAAACTTTAAAACATCTAAGTTAGCATCCTCAGGGAGATTTGAGATCAGAGCCATTTGAAAGAACAGACTGCTATGCAAAGAAATAAACAGAGTTCTTGGAATTTGAAGGTATGAGATCCATAATCAAAAAGCAAATCTCAGTAAAGGGTCAAATCACAGAATGAACACTACAAATGATCATGTTACCGAGGTAGATGTTGGAGACAGAGCAAATGGGCAAGGAGATGGAAAGTCTTAGAGAAAAGTTGAGACCTGGGAAAGGGAGCCAGGAGTTTCAACATCCACAGGCAGAGGGCAGAGAGAATTGAGGGCAGGAAAGGCAGACAGTGTCACCTACGTAGCTGTCCCTTCCTCTTTGGTGACAGAAGCTCAAGCTTTAGCTGGGCTTATTGCTGTACAGAATAAGAGATTATCTTTCCTACACTCTCCCGTTGCCAGGTGTGGTCATGTGACTATTATGTTGTACAAGGAGATATGAGTAGAAGCACTCGGTGTGCCTTCCAAAAAAGGCTGCTTAAAGAGAGTTGTCTCAGGTGGGAAGGGTCAGTTTTTGCCCTCCTGCCTTTCCTCTTTTTTCCAGCCTGAAACTTGGAAGTGATAAATGGAGCTCCAGCAGCCATTTTGGATCATAAGTTTACCTTGATGATGGAAGCCATATGCAAGGCTGATACAACAGAACGAGAGGAACTTGGATCCCTCTTGTCACTGTGGAATTACTGTATCAGCCTGAAACTGTCTATTTCTGGCCATCTTTTATGTGAGGGAAAAATAAACATGTATTGTTAAGCCACTGTTATTTGGGGATTTTCCATGTGCAACCAAACAAATGTAACTGGAACTGGAAGAAACTGCACAGAGCTTTAAAGCAGACAGTCTACTAAGTGAAGAGCACGATTCATTTTTAATAGTGCCCTACCCAGGCACATGCTGGTGAACTTTCAGTCATCAGAGAATAAAAGGGTAATTCTAGAAGCTTCCAGAAGGAAACAAACAAACAGGTTATTTTGGGACAAGGGTCAGGTTGGCAAGATTTTCTCACAAGTGACCCCGAATTCTAAATAGATAGTGATGTCTTGAAAATACTGAGGGAAAACATGTTTAAACCTAGAATCATAAAAAAGTCAAGCTTACTTGGAAGTTCAAGGACAAAAAAACACAACATTTTGGAAATGTAAGGATACAGAAAGTTTTTCAGATCTTTTCTGAAAAAAATTACTCTCGGATGTACTTCAGAAAAAAAAAAATCCAAGAAAGAGAGACAGCATATGATACTGAAATCAGTGGTGAGAAAAGAAACTGATAAGACTTAAGGTTAAGTAAAGGGAAATTGTTACTGTATAAAGTGAAAATAAATAAATACATGATAACAATATTGAAGTAAAACTCCGATGATCTTACTGTAGGAGTTGGCCGTAAGGTTGTGGGTGGAACGCAGACGAGAACTGAAAGCTCGCTAAGGATCTTGTCTTGTTTTGGAGGAGCATTTATAGGTTAAGCCCAAATGCTGTTGGAAAATATAAGTTAAATACGTGTTTTAAAAATATAAGGGTTAAAAGTCACTAAGAGTGAGGGGCATAGAGCAAGAGGATGACAGGGAAAGGGAAAGGAAAGAGAGAGAGAGGGAAAAAAGAGGATAGAAAAACCTGACAACTTCTCATTCAAAATAAACACGCACACCCAGATTCTCAAACTCATGAAGAAATTTAATGGTAGGAATAAAAACTGGAAATGAAAAAAAAATGCAAAACACAAATTCATTCCGGACAAAAACAATTTCATAGGACAATCTGACAAAGAATTTTAAAAGAAGAATGCATCATGGTCACATAGAGATTATTCCAGAAATGGACGGAGAGCCATTAAGAAATCTGTTTATGATGAAAAGAAACAGATTAACAGGTTAAAATGAAAAAAAAAGATACGTTTATCTTAACAGGTGATCCTAAATATTTGATAATACAAAAGTCATTCCTGATTAAACAAACTTCAGCAAATGAGGAGTTGAGGGAAACGATGGCATTTCTGGGTATTTACTAGAAACTCGTGGCAACATCAGAGTCTAAGGGAAATGTTAGCACCTTCCTCATCAAAGGCACAGACAGGAGGAGGCTGCCCACCATTGTCATCTCCTGTGGTCAATCCTCCCCCAAATAATCTTTACATTCAATGCAACCTAAGTCAAAATTCCAAAAGAATTTTTAACAGGCTTGACAAACTGATTCTAGATTATAACAAAGCAAACATGAGAGACTCACTCTATTAGCTAGAAAAATAATAAGGCATATAACAGTGGACAGATGGAACAGAAAACAGTAAGGAAAATAACCAAGTAGGAATTTGGAAAATAATAATGGCATCTCAAGTCACCGAGGAAAGGATGGGCTCCATACTCATAATTAATGATATTGCAACAATTAGCTGATAATTTTTTTAAAACTTAGCTTATCACTTTACACATTACCCCACCCTTCCAAATTCTAGACGGATTAAAGACCTAAAAGTCAAAAATAAAATGATAAAAGCCTTAAAAATGTTTCTTTAATCTTTGGGGTTGAACAAGACACCAAATCCAGAAAGCATACAGTAAAAAAAAAAAAAAAAAAAAATGACAGATTTGATTTAAAAACCATTAACACATTTTTATACATGCAAGATATCTTAAACATGGTAAAAAAAAAAGACAAGTGATAATCTGGAAGAAATTATTTTCAACATAGGTAAATAAATGGTTAATACACATAATAAATGAATCATTCAAAGTTAATAGGTAAAAGACCAAGAACCTGTCAAAAAAAGGACAAAGGACTTTCTGTGCATGTCATAAAAGGAATAATAATAATAATCAGAGAAAGGAAAAATCTAAGTAAGAACCAGATAATTTTCATCCATGACATCGGACACAATTAAAAGATTGATCATTTCCCTAAAGAGAAACTTGTGTTTCTATGCATAACTATGAGGTTGTGTGTTAATTCAGTTACTTTGAGGATGGTTTGACAATATCTATTAAAATTTTAAATGTACCATCTCTTGCCCAGAAATTTTGCTTCTAGGAATCTGGGCTGCAGAAACACTTTCATACGTGTGGAAAAATTTGAAACAACCTAAGTGTCCATCAACACAGGATTGAATAAACTGTGGTGTGCCCAAACCAATAAATGCCATGTATTTCTTAGGGTTGATCAATGAGTTAAATCAGTATGTATTATTGTGAAAATTGTCCAAAACATAAGAGTAAGTGAAAAAATAAGTCATAGAACAATATATATGTTGTACTCCCATCTATGTACAAAGAAAAATTATATACTATGCTTAGAAAATGTTCTAGAGGAATCTGTATGGTAAAGGGAGTGGGATGTGGGACTAGTATATCAGGATAATTGAGACTTTATCTTTTGTGCTACCTAATTCTGGGCCATTCTAATCTTTAATAAAGCAGATATCCATGTATTTACTTGTTTAATATTAAATAACTCAGGGCCGACCCAGTGGCATAGCGGTTAAGTTCACGCATTCCGCTTCAGTGGCCCGGGGTTCGCCAGTTCAGATCTTGGGTGTGGACGTATGCCCTGCTCCTCAAGCCATGCTGAGGCGGTGTCCCACATAGAAGAGCTACAACTCTACAACTATGATACGCAGCTATGTACTGGGGCTTTGGGGAGAAAAAAAAAAAGAGGGGAAGATTGGCAACAGATGTTAGCGCAGTGCCAATCTTCCTCAAAAAAAAAAAAAATTAAATAACTCACGAACTATCCCGTAGTATTGGTGGATACAGCAGAACATAAGTAAAACTGATGAATGGAGAAAAGAGTGACCAAAAGCTAATAGGACAGGTTTTACTCATGAAACTATTAGAAAGAAGGAAAGACGGTAAGTAGAGAAAATTAGAATCCGGTTATGCAAAAAGATAACAGCAGGGCCTTTGAAGACTAAAAATTGCACATATGAACTTGCCACCGGAGCCTTGCACCCCAAGTCAGACCCATAGAAACACTTGGCCTCCCATCCACAGGGCAAATGCATGCACCTGCACACACCTGAACACACATGCACACACCGTGATGCAGACACCCCCAGACGCCCACCCACCCAGCAAACACACTTGGGCACAGAACATACGCATCTGGGCCCAAACCCAACTAAGCAACAGTGGTTCAGGGCGGAATGTGACAGTGAAAAGCATTCTGTGAGGGGGAAAAATATGTCCTGGGCAAGGGACTGGGCCCACTTCTGATCTTCCAAAGTGAGCTTCCCAAGAAGCACCGAGCTCTGGGCCAGAGCACAGCAAGATTCCAGGCTTCACCTTCTGCCTCCCAGTCTCTCTGCATCCCCATGGATACCCACGCATGCGTGTACACACACACACACACACACACACACACACACACTCTCTCTCTCTCTCGCTCGCTCTCTCGCGCTCTCTCTCTCTCTCTCTCTCTCTTTCTAAACCAGGAGCTCTTGGTTGTCAGAGCTCTTCCCTTTCCAGAGACGAGGAGACAGAAGCCCAGGGCAGGGAGGAGATGTTCTCCCTGCCATCAAGGCCTTAATGACAACTTAGTGACAAAGCAAAGATGGATGGCACACAGATGTCTGACTCCCAGTCCTGAGCTGTCCTCCACCTCAGCTGACCTCCCTGTGGCCAGGATAGCCAGATCCTGCCAGTGAAACCCAGCCCTCCCAAGCCCCCCCAGACACCCAAGCGGGTCTGCACCCCTGGCTGTCTCCTCGCCCACTGGCTGCCCGAGGAGTCTGGGCTCAGGTCTTCCCAAGAGGCAGAACCCCAACCTCCCCAGTCCCCAGAGCTCACCTGCCCACCCAACAAAGGACAGGCTCTCCCTGTCCTTTCATTCCCAGGCTCCCCACACGTCCCCTGCTCCCAACCCCACTCCACCCTTCAGCCGACCCCCGAGAGCCCGGCCCTACCTCTCCGTGGTGAGACAGCCCAGCCTTCTGCTGGAGTCTCCAGGCGGCAGAGAGCCTCTCACGCTTCCTATTTATGCTGACGTCGTTAGGAAACGGAGAGGCAGAAAGAGGAAGCGATGCTGGCCCAGGCCTGTTTCTGCACAAGCAACTCTTCACAAGATTTCCCGGCTTCTTAGAACTGTGGACATCAAGATAGCAATTTTTCTCTAAGCCTTACTAACTTTGCAAATGTTCCTGCTGCCGGAAGTTTCTACCTACTCTGTCTCCCTGTAAACTCCTATGCATCCTCTAACTGCCAGCTCAATGCAAAGTTCCTCCATGCAACCTACCTGACACCCCCAGGGGGTTGCAGGGGGAGGGGGCTGCACTAACCAGAGCAGGTGAGAGCCCAGAGCCAGAGGGACCTGGACTAAACTCCCACCTCCACCACTGCGCAGAGTGTGACCTTGTGCAAATTACCTGCATGTAACTTCGCCAGGTCTCAGGAACCCCATCTGTTACTTACTTACAAGCATCTACAAACACGGAAGGGCTGTTGAGGAAACCAAAGGAGATGCTAATGGCAAGACCTCAGCTCAGAGCCTGGCGCACAATAACCCCCAAATGCTAGCCGGGATTATTTTGATTCCCCTGATGGCCTTTTGCCCTGTACCTCCCCACACTGTCCCATAGCCCTCAGTGTTCGTGGCTGTCTTTCCCCAACCCTGCCTTGTGTGGGGCTCACATTTCTCTCCCCAGCACCCAGCACATGCCCTGGCACAGAGGAGGCCCTGGGTGACTGAATGTGGAATGAATGAATGAATGAGTAACTCCCTGAGCACAGCAGCGCTGTGGTTAAGGCAAAGCAAGTGAGGCATCCCCCTGGGCACAAAATTTAAGGGGGCACCAATACATTCAGTAATCGAGATAAACAATATTTCAGTGAAACATTGTAAAAAATCAGAATTAATGCAAAAAACTCCAGAACGAACAAAATATGAAATTTTAAATACAGACAGGCCCAGTATCAGTGCCATGCCAAGCCACGTTGGAGTCGGAGGCAGGAGGAAAAAGCAGTGCTGTTTCTGCTGAGCAGAGATGAGGAGAGAGGGGCGTGGGAGGTGAGGATGAGGGCTGGGAACCTGTAACAAAGCCCCTGGACTCCTGGCCTGATTGTTCTTTGCTTTCCTCCTGCCAGGAAGGGCACGCCTGGCCAGGAATAGCTGGAAATGCCCCGCCTGGGCGGAGAGAGTACAAGCTGGAGGGCGGAGTGGTGGCTGCCGGACCCGAGTTCTCTCGGGCACACCTGCTGGTGTGCAGTTCCTTCTGGAGTGGAGAGGTGGTGCAGGGGTCTGCCCAGGGCTGGAGAGGAGGGAACTGAAGTGATGTGCAGGGGTCTTCCTTTTCTCCTAGGGGCTCCCGTCCAGCCTGTCCTCTCTGAGCTCCTCTGTTCTGCTGGCCAGGCTAAGGGCTGGGGTCCCCAGCAGGGGCCACACCCAGGCCTGGTCACCAGGAGGCCAGTCTGTGGGAGAGAGGCCCTCCTGGAGGTCAAGGTGGGCAGTGTTCTCCTGCCGTCTGCTAGGCCAATCACTGGACCAGAACACTGGGACCCGAGAAGGCTAACACAGGTGCTGGGTTGCTGGGGATTTCTCCAGGTCGCTGGGGATTTCTGCTGTCCCGAAGCTTCCAAAGCTCCATCTTGTTGCCTCGAGGGAAGGCCTAACCCCCCATTGCCCACCAAGAGAGGACAGGAGGCCTATGCTGGTGAGGAGTCCGGCTTCTGGTTAAAAACTTGTGTGATTTTCAGGCCCAAGTATTGGCAATTGCAAAGCTTTCCGTGGCAGGCCTCGAGGGGGAAGCTGCCCTCCCACACCAGGCTGGGGCAGCCACTGTGCACGGCAGTCTCTGAGGGAGTTCCGGCCAAGGACTCAGGCCCCTGGCCGGTCATGCTGTTTCACGCATTTGCATTCCCAGGCCTCTAACCTGAGGCCTTGGGCAGAGGTCGTCTTCAGGTGCTTCCGCAGAAGCCTTCTCATGGGGGGAGGAGGCAACACCTGGAAGGCACCTTTCCCCACTCTGATTCAGCACCCTGTGCTTCCCCACGCCTAGCCACCCCCCTCCATCCTCGCCCCACCCCGGCTCCTGTAACAGCGAGAGGACCCCACGTCTGTGCTGAGGGTCCATCTAACCCTCAACAGGTACTCCGTTCTACGGGGGACAGTGGATGAGGGGGTGTCAGTGCTTTCTCCAGGTTTTACACTCTGGCTTATACCACCACAGAGGGTGATTAAGGCTTATCTCCCAGGTTTTGGCTTGTCGCTATAATTGGCTACTCCGACACCTGGCAGCTCAGCTCCCTCTCCCAGCTCAGCCGAGCTCTTGACAACGGTAGTCCCCCTTCCTCAGGTGGGCAAAGGTGCACCTCAGTCTCGGGGCTCCCTGTGTGACCAGGACTTAGCAGTGAGGTGGCCTGAAAATGGACTATTAGAACCTGACAATGTTCAACTTAAAAATAAAGTTGCCACTCACATAAAAACAAACATGCAAGCCACAACAACAAGTCAAGCAAAATAAAACAAGAAAAGCTTACTTACGTTCCTGAGGGGTGCCTCTGATGTGGGCGCGAGATCCCACAGGGGAGAAGGCGGGTGGCTCCCCACCGTGGTTCTGACGAGAGGGTGGAGGAGGCGTGGACCTGTCTGGTTGGAGAGAAGCTTGCTTTCTCAGCTCTGTGACTCTCGGACAACTGTCCTGGATGTCATGGAGCCTCGGTCCTCTCTGCCTGGGACTTACAAAGTTTTGCTCATATAATCTAAAAAAAATTCTCTATTGTATTTGCATTTCCACACTTTAAAGTACACAAATCTTAAGTATACAGTGCAGTGAATATGTGAATATTTACACATCGATGCACCCGTATAAGCACCACTAGATCAAATATAGAACATTCCCAGACCCCAGAAGGCTCCTTTGTGCCCCGTCCCCCTCACTATCTCTCAAAGGTAACCATTACTCTGATTTCTCTCACTATAAATTAGTTACGCCTGTTTTTTTAACTGTGGTAAAATATTCATGACATAAAATTTGCCATTTTTACCACTTTTCAGTGTACAGTTCAGTGGCATTAAATACATTTACATTGTTGTGCAGCCGTCTCCACCGTCCATCTCCAGAAGATTTTCATCATCCCGAACTGAACCTCTGTCTCCATTAACAAGAACTCTCCATTCTCACCTCCACCCAGCCCCTGGCAACCATCCCCTCTCCTTTCTGCCTCTATGAATTTGAGCATTCTAAATACCTCATATAAGCGGAATCATACACTACTTGTCATTTTGGGACTGGTTTATTTCACTTACTGTAATGTCTTCATGGTTCACCTACATTATAGCATGGGTCAGAATTTCCTTCTTTTTAAGGCTGAATAATATTCTATTGAATGGATATACTACATTTTGTTTATCCATTCACCTGTTGATGGACATCTGGGTTGTTTCCACCTTTCACCACTGTGAATAATGCTGCTGTGAACGCTGGTGCACGATTATCTGTTCATGTCCCTGTTTTCACTTCTTTTGAGAACATATCCAGAAGTGGAATTGATGATCATGTTTAAACTTCTGTTTAAATTTTTGAGGAACGGACATACTAGATTGTGCCTGTTTTTGAACTTGTGGAGTCGCTTAATACTTGGTTGCATCTTAAGGGCTTCAATTAAACAAAGTGATAGGCAAAGGCTTTCTGACTCCAGAATTTCCACAAGCCTGTCCTGTCCTGCTCATCCATTCTAACTTGATCACATCACTGGTGACCCAGTATCTGACTCTGAAATTCTGGCCCAAAGACGATCTGTAACTTGGGAGGTGCTGTTAAAAATGCAGATTTTCGTCTTCCAGATTAAATGCAAAATCGTAGACGATCTCTCCCGAGCGCTAATCCAAATGAACAAAAAATTAGTTACGAAAATTGGGCAAAAAATGTACCAGTAACAACCAAAGTAGCCAGTCGAGGACACGGAAGTGACCTTCTGCTCTCGATTTCACGGCACGGAAGGGAGGGAAGTCACAGAGGAAGCCGGCGGGCACGCGCAGGGAGCTCCTCTGCCCCTTTAATCAGAAGTGATACTGAGACAGAGGGTGAGTCAACCATCTTGGCAGAATTACCCTTCAGCGCAGAGGAGCTGGTTGAGGGGCAAAGCAGGTGCTCTGTAGAACCCTGGGGAAAGGCCCTTAAGGTCCCTGCAAGCCACCTGCATGGGATAAAAAATGTTAGGTCAGCCTCCGCTGCCCCACGGTGACTTGCCAGTGAGTCAAGTGCCCAGAGACAGTGCAACATCTATTACTTCAGTTGGCGCAATGACCCAGATACTCCGAGCATCCCCTTTACTACAAAACCCCTAGATCCTAGATAAACTTGAAATGCATTGCTGGACTCTCAAGAGGCAAGGGAATTCTCAAAGGCACCCACTCTTTTCCAACAAAAGCCAAAAGCAAGAAATAAAATCAACAAAAATAGTCAACTGAAAACAGGAAATGTGGCGTCCAATTTGCTCTCGGTGCAAATGCCTGTTAGCAGTCCTGACCATCTGAAATGGAAGCCGTGGGCTCCCAACAGCACGAGCAGCTGAACTTGAGATTCTCACCTTAAACTCAGGGCCCTGAATGGGACTGAAATTGATTCCAGGGTACCCGTGCTGCTGCCTCCCGGCAGAAACTAGTGCAAATCTCTCTGGAGGAAAGTGTTCTCAATTTCCCATATATAAGCTCACACTCATCCACCACCAAACACACAAGGAAACAAGCCACTGTGGAGAGAGTAAACAGAAACAACAAACAATAGATATAGACCCCCCAAGAAACAAAGTTGTTGGAATAATCAGATACTGGATATTAAATAAATGTGTAAGAAAGACAGAGATAAAATTTATAGTCACTCTCCTTCTCCTAACCTCCTTCCCTCTCCCTTTTCTTTCTTCCTTCGTTTTCCTCATATAACAAGTCTGAATATATGCAGAATGGTGGGTGGCCGTGGCTGGGAAGAAAATTCTAGTGATAATAGTGGAATGTGAGTAGCATTCACATAAGTGATGCTGCCTTGTGGATGCCCT